TCCCTGCCCCGCCAGGCACCGGGTCACCGAGGGTTGAGTGGAGACAGGGAGGCGAGCCCCTGTGCTGGGCTCAGGACGCTGGTCGCAGGCTGAGGGGCACACTGCACGCACATGTGGGTGCGCCAGGCACAGATGCGCCTGTGGGTGCCACGTCCCCCACCTGTGACTGCCAGCCTTCCCCCGACTAGGCCATGTCCTGTGACTCCGCCCCCGCCCCCACCGCCCCGTTTCCTGAGAATGTGGGGACCCAGCGGCCTCACCCACGGCACACTTCCTACAAAAGGGGCTCGAGCTCACCGGCCCACGGTCTCTGCCTTCCCCATAGCTGACGGGGCCCGCCCACCTGCTGACGCCGCTCCCGCCTGGGTCCAGGCTGCGTCCTCGGCACCGGCTCTCCTGTGGCAGTGTCCGAGCCTGCGGAGGCGATGGCGCATCATCTTTTCAAGTCTGTCCCGTTATCGGCCATGCCGCCTGACCTGACAGTTCTAACCTGTCTCCTCCCGGCAGGCATGCTTTACACGCTGGGTCCAAGCATCCCACGCGCACGTGACACCTGGCCCGCCGTCTCCGACTCACTATTGCACTGTGTCCCGAGGGCTTGAGTGTGTACAGCGGTCCGATCACTGACCTGGAAAGGTCACTTAGGAGGCCCATAGAGGCCGAGGTCAAAGGACGCTGCACCAAGAGGCCCAGGTCAGGTGAACACGGTTTGAACTTGAAACTTGGGGCTTCCAGGTCAGCTGGGGGTGAGCACATGCACCCCGTGTCCACACAAACCTGGCAAACATGGCTTCTCGGGGGCAGACTTTCCCCCTGCTTTGCCTGGGACAGCCCCTGGGGTCAGGACCTCCTGTAGACCTGGCCCCCGTGGAGCTGTGGGAGGACACAGGACCACGGGAGGCCGCACCCCACATGCACCGGCAGCTCTCACGCTTCCAGAGACCCCGCCACGGCTCACATGCCGCAAGGACAGGCGTCCAGCACGACCTCAGCAGCGACCAGCAAGCAGCAAGCCAGCAGCACGCACGCCCGGGCCACCTGCGGTTTCCGTCCCTTACAGCTCTGTTCAGGCTTTGTCCCTCTCCGCCCCTCTCCGGACTGTGAATGACCTGTGCAGAAACAGTGAGCCCGGACAGCCGGCCCGAGCCCACCGCGCAAGTCCGAACAGCGAGCCCGGACAGCCGGCCCGAGCCCACCGCGCGAGTCCGGTCTGCCGGCCACGGCCCCGGGTTTCGCTCTCTCAAGCCTGACCTGATAAACCCTCATGACCTCGCCAGCTCTTTGCGGCTAAGAGACTGAACTGCTTTATAAAGCGTCTTTAGCTGTTGCTAGCAGGGTTTGGGCACCTCCCCTCCCCTCCCCTCGGGGCCACTTCCAAGAAGGCCGAGGCTGCCCGTGGAGGCCCTGGGGTCAGCAGGACCACGTCACCTCATGGCCACTGTGCAGCTCACAGCCCAGCCTCTCTCCAGTGGAGACCCTGCCCCGCCTACAAATAACAGAGGAACAGCACCCAAAGAACAAGGGAGGCCAAAACGTTTAAGTTATTAAATCAAATATACAGAGTGATTCATTTAATATGTACACATTTACAAAAATGCACTT